GCCTGAGTGGGTTCTCTCCACTCATGGAACAATGGCATGGACCCGCACAATAGATTCTACTACATCCACCAGCTGTGATTTCAGCTGAAACTTGTCTGCAGCAGTTTTTTTGGGGCCCTGTGCTCGAGGGGGTACGGAGGAGGGCTACAAGAATGATTACGAAGGTTATGGGACTTCTTTCCTATGGGAACGTTGGGGGTGGCTGGGCTAACCTTCTCGTCGGAGTGGGGCGGACGCATTCCGACCAGAGTGGGCTTGAACCAAACTTGAGGGGTTGAAGCCCCCCCCCCCCAGCCCTCCCTCGCTACGCCACTGAGTGTGGTAGGTTTTTCCAGTTCGGTGGAAGCAAGAGAACGAGAGGTATTCAACTAAAGGGCAAACTGCTCAATAAACTAACGGCTGCGCAAACCGCAGGTGCGGCTCAGGTCGAGACAGGAATTATTTACTTGCAGAGTGGTGAACGCGTGGAATGCGTTACATGACGAAGTAGTGGCTGCCCCTTCTGTGACTATTTTAAAGAAGAAACTGGATGGATTTATGGACAGGCAAAAAGGTTGGGGGCAATATTGAAGATAGGGATTAGGCAGTAAGCAACTAGGATGCGCTAAAAAAAATTCCAAAAATACAAAAATATTTAGCTTTAAGAGGATTAGGCCTGCCATAAAATTAAGGAACGCTCGACCTTGGCACGTGATATCGAAATGGGTGTAATCGCCTCTTGATGTCACTAACTACCTTGAACCTTCAACTGGATCTGGGATGTTCAGACGACCACAAGTGCCATGACGTCATCATGACGTATCACGGTGGCTATTATGACCACGAGAACCGCGTAGTTGTGAATGTGGTTTCCTCGCTCGATAGTTCTCGCAGTAGAAGGAAAAAGTGACGAAATTCCGTTCATGAATTTATTCATCAGGATACGGTTGATCATGAGTCAAAGCATTCCAATTACTAATAGCTAACAGGCGGATGAACTGGCGAAGGCCTAGCCAGATCGAGGCGGCTCTCAGTGTGTCTTGCTCATTTTCCAGGACCTTGTACATGATGTGGTGATAGCCTAGGCCTAACTTTTTTCCCTGTGGAGTTAAATAGGCACCCATTTGGCAGGTCTTGGAGTTAATTTATATAAATTTGAAGTTCAGCATACCTGAGATTATGCCTAACACCTTATGAGAAGAATTTGGGTCCAAAACTCAGGCCAATGATAGACCTAAGACAGCTTTGTAATTGAGAAGATTGGCAATGATAGATCTTTGCCCTGGGCAATATAGATAGATAATTTAGTCCAGATAATCCAGACTTATAGATAATTTAGTCCAGTTTCACAAATTTCAATGTTGGGTTAACACAGTCTTCAAGTAAAACTTGAAATAATTAAAATTATAGGGGACTCTGCAATAACAACTGCAGTGCACAAGTATGTAAAGCAATGTTGCAACCAATTAGGACAGAGGGAACTAAGCTTTAGGTTCTCTGATGCATGTAGTTTCTACCAGCTAACTGCAATACTTATCAGGACTATTATGTATATATATTTTTTTACATGAAGGCACAAGATTCCAAGGGTTAAATTGATATGGTGCACTGCAAAGTGCCTAGTCTATTAAAGAAAAAAAAGAAAAATTGAGGGCAAGATAATGGTGATTCGCATTTTCATCAAAATTGAGTTAATTCTAATGAACATGTGTTACTTCCATCATATTTCATTTGCAAAGAAAAAACACTTGAGGATGTAACTATCTGTAGTTTTAATTTTCCATTTCAGTCAATGGAAACATCAAACTTGGTCTGCCTTCTTGAATATGGAAGTTGCTGTCCTTTTACTATCTTGCACCAAGTTCCCCAAATAAGTTGCTTTCTATACTTCTTTCATTCTCTACATGCAATTTCATTCTTGCCAATTTTTATGCTGATAATTTCAAGAGTAGTAAGTCTAGGTACACTGAAGGGAGTCAGTCTCCTTTGATGATTTCAACCACCATTTATTTGCATATGATCCACTTTATAGATGAATATTCTCTCTCCACAAAGCCTATTGCCTGAGTGGGTTCTCTCCACTCATGGAACAATGGCATGGACCCGCACAATAGATTCTACTACATCCACCAGCTGTGATTTCAGCTGAAACTTGTCTGCAGCAGTTTTTTTGGGGCCCTGTGCTAGAAGGCTTCTTTGAATGCTTCCATTTGTGAGAATGGTCCTTTACCTCAACTTCATCTTGAAGAGGAACTACATGGCCAGCTTTTGGTCATTTCCATCGCCCCTCATTATTTATTTAAGCCAACATTGGAGAGGCTTGTACCTACTCTCAAATGAACTTAATTTAAACTGGGCTGGACTTAAATACATTCCTAGTCTATCAACTAGGACTGTATACTCAGGAGGGATCTATGAAGAGAAGATGCTACTTTCTGCAGTCTTATTCACTTCCTATGTGGGAATAGAATTACTTCTTCAGCCTCATCGTGTACAGGTTAAACTCCATTCATGCACTGCACTTGCATAAACAAATATTGGAATGGTGAATTGAATGTCATTTTTCTCAACCCCTTCCAGATTATTTCACTTTTTTTTCAATGAGATACATTGAGGTGAGGTATGCTTTCATTATTCAATTATACCAGCTAGTTCATTGAACTGAGGACTGGGACTGCAGCTACCACTTTATTTCAAGACCTCTGAGTATGTAAAGGCACATCTAGTTCCTCTTGATGCAATGACAATTTCCAGACCTTTATGTGTTACATTTGTCTGAATGAGATGGCAATAGCCTTTGCCACTACCTGTTCAGAAATGCCTCATGTAGACTGAAATACTAGGTTGTATCACATCAATGAAGAGAAACACTATATGTAGTTACTAATGTTCCTTCAACAAATTGTGAATCTTGCTCTTGTAGGTAATTTTTTATTTGACTGATCTTCTTTACTCAGAATATCATTTCCATGAAACTCTTGGCATCAACTATCTATAAATGCATGCATCAGTTCAATAAAAACTTGAGAAGGTTTTAGGCCTTTTTTGTTCACTAAGAGAGGTATATACCCTTTCTCACAATGAGCTCTACAGCTTTCCATGAAGCCTCTGAAGTGTAGCTAATCAATTTGTCACTGTTTTCAGCCTAATTTGATATGGATTGTATGTGTCGTAGGGTTTTGTGGAATTCAGGGGGATTTCGAATCTCCCTAGGGAGAGACAGGATTCCACTAGGGAGATTCCATATCTCTCTGGCTTGAAAATTGCCCTTCCCACGGCTTGTCCCACCGAGGGCAATTCTCCTTTTGTTTGTGTTGACTGATTATTTAAGGCTGAAGAATACCGTGTTATAGCTATCAGTGAGAATACCACACCTGATTCTGCCTGCCACTAATGAAGAAAGAGAAGCTTGGAAGACAGTGGTTGCGTCAACGAAGGCGAAGGCTTTGAGGGCAGAAACAAGCTACGCCAGTGGGGTGCAGGATCCATCTGCAAGTGCAAGAAGTCTTGTCGCACCAACAGGTGCAGCTGTAAAAAAAACTTGGCATAACATGTGCATCCAAGTATCATGGGGGAAAGCTGTGCAACCTTCCAAAATAAGACAAGTATATTGTTAATTGACTCTGCTTTGAATCTTATTGACGTTTATTTTTTTCTTTCTATACATGGACTGAAATGAAATTCCATTTCCCCTGGGTGTCTTGATGATTCTCTTTCTCCCTAGGGGTAAACAAAATGATGGAAGCATTGGCAGTTAATCCAATGATTTGGAATCCCCCTAGGGGAGGTGACATAATGGAGGTTTTCGGGAGGATTCCGCTAAACCCACGGGTTTAGGGGAATCCTGTTTCTCCCTAGGGAGATTCGAAATCCCCCTGAATTCCACAAAACCCTACAACATGTGCATTTTAATACAATATATATCAATCCCTTACCTAGATATGGGATGTCTTAATGGGCATAGAACTTGCTTTTTCATGTGCTGACCCAGACTTTGAAAATTGAGATAAAAAGGTAAGGATAATTTCTCTATTGTACATAATAAAAATAAAGCAGGTATGTAATATCTATAGAAACCTCTAAAAATTGGTGAAGAAGTTTTTCAGAAATTCATGAATTTCAGATGGGCTCTATCTAGCCTTCTACAGAAATTTTCTGTGGTGGGTAATGAAGCCTTAAGTATCCTAGTAGACATTGATTTCCAAGTGTGGGTATAAGCCACCATGTTTCTAATACAAGTACCACTCATATATTTGCATGTGCAGATGTCCATGCATTTTATTCCACCAACCAAAATGCTGTTTTAAACTGTCTTCCCAGTAATACTGAGATTACAGACAGTAACATTTCCATATGAATTCCAAAAATATTCTATATACTGTAATTGTATCATGATTTCTTCTACAATTGTGAATGAAGTTCTAAGAACCTCTGGAAGATTGTGTATGGTTTATGTGGAGTTATCTACTCCTCTAGTAGAGGGACTTTTATAGGATTCTATACAGCTTCTTATGCATTGTCCCATCTGTATCTTTCTATAAGATTCTATAAAACTTTATGTGCAGACCCCTTAATATTAACGTCCTATACAATTGCATTAAATATTCCATAGGATTCTATTGAGTCTTTCTTGTGGATTCCTGCCTGTAACTTTCTGTAGGGTTCTATAGAAGCTACCTGAAATTCTATACTATTATATCAATTATTGTATAGGATGAGGTGCAGCAAAAGCAACAATGGGATAATTGTTACAATGTGTTGTATTTCAGGAAGTGCTTTAGATTCAATTTCCTAATTTTGTGTCCATAGCATGCCACTTTTCATCCTTCATATCACATATTTTGGCTTCTCTGTGATTGGCTAAGAATGTGTTTACTTCAATTTTGTGCATCGTGGTAAGAAAATTAGGAATCCAATTTTTTTCTCTTCTGTTGCATTTTCATTTTTCATCCCAACAAATGAAGTTAAAAATTGTAAAAATGTTACATTTTCTACCTGATCTTAATATTAACCTTATGATCTCAAAATTCGGACTTAGAAGTGCTGCTAACTTTGGTACAAGAGTCTATTTGTGGAAAAAAATATGCATGACTGAGCATTGTGCATGGGGCTTCTTACAGACTTCATAATAGGTCACACTTACAAAAGGAAAACTGAGAGGGGTGTGGGGAACTGCTACTCCCATGGAAATCTTGCAACTGTTGTGAATGTCATTAAGAATCTTGTGATTAACAGAAAAATTACATCAACATTTTATGGAGTTCTGAGAGCACCATCCAGGTGCTCCTGTCAATGCATTATTCAGGAGTTTAACAAAAGTTTATAGGTTATGATCTGAGTTTAATGTTTCTCTTTGTTGATTGGTGTGAAAGGCATGAATTTTATTGGTGTCTATCATAAGCAAACATGATTGCAGATTTCTGAGCTGGCTTTTTAAGGATAGAAATTGAGGAGGAAGAATATAATAAAGTTTAAGAGATTAATACAAGTGGGGTGGATGAGAGAACTTTTACTGCCTCTTTTTATTGCCAAAGGAGAATTCCTGCAGGCTTAAAATTCAGCAGAGAATGGCTGCAGCTGCTTCAGCATTATATGCTCCCATTGCTTCATTTTAAGACCATATTAGCTGAAAATTTTCGCAGTTCATTCACAAAATGCAGAGTGCATTTACAGTCACTCCTTTTGCTCCTCAGTGCTATAAAATGGCACTTGTGCAACAATGTTACTTTGCCCCATGGTATGTTACCTGTACTTTCACCTTGTCCCACGGGACAACATAACATGAAAAAGGTTTTTAGAAAGGATGTTTACTGAGGATCCAGTTCAGTTTCAAGTTCTAGAAGTCATTGAAATCTCTTGTTCATTATCTGAAGAGGGTAAAAATAAATTTTTATGACAATATGTTTCCTAGTGTTTCCTAGAATCATCCGGCTAAGTGGAATTATGTTTTTCAGGTTACTTTTACCCCACCTCACCCTACAAAACTTGTAGGAATTTTTTATAGAAGTCTTATGAAAACTTCTAGAGGAACCTTATGGAAATCCTATAGAGGGGTTCTATAAGCTATTTTATAGAAAATTCTATAAGATCATTTGATAGAATCTCTACCTAGGTATAGAACTTTTCCACCTGGCTGAACCAGAGCTGAATTCGTTACCTGTTCATTGGTTTAGAAAAAGATCAAACCTTCAGCTTCTGCCTGATAAAGCCCTATTTTTCTAAGCTTTGATCACACAGCAAATGCTGAAAGACTCAGGGTTTGATTTCTTTGGAAATGTGGACTTGCTGGGAAACTCTCCTGATCTGAGTGTGGCTGAGAACATTGAGGTTATCCTGAAAGATTGAGTTGAGGCTCTCATGCATATGGAGGGCAAGTAGCATGGATTCCCCCAAGAAGCTTTACAAAGCAGCACCACCAGAGGGTTGAAGGACATGGAAGATGACAGTGAACCCTTTAAGTGTCTCTTTTCATCTTACCCTGCTCATCTTAAAACTGTCAGAGATCCAGCCCAAGTGCACACAAATCACTAGAAGTACATGCTTAGATTCGAAGATAAATGCTCTTTCTCATGATATATGAATTTTTTTTCCCTAGCTTTTATAATTTAGCTGTGGATGGGGGGGGGGGGGGGGGGGGGCTACCTATGTGGAACACCTGGTACAGGGTGCCTGGAAAGTCACTTCCCATTTTAAAATGTTAATATCTTTCATACAATTTTGGACTAGAGCAATGCTGTTTGTGCCAAAATAAACAGAATTAGATTGGGTTTTATTATTTTATTGATTTGTTTGTTTTTGAAATTTTTTTTTTTAGCCTCAAAACCATATTTCTAGTCGAAAAATTACAAAAGTTATTATGATGTTAAGATAGGGAGTTACTTTCTAGACACCTTGAATACACATGAACATGAGTGTGACTGACAGGCTGATTTTAGGTATGTTCCCGACAAGATGGAAAGCTGAAAATTTGTACACGAGTACTTCTCATGGAGTTATGATAATATCTGGAAAATCATACTTTTGGTAGGTATCCTAGAGGGCCCTTTTTTTGAGGGAGGGGAGTGTGACTTTTTCCTGAAAATTTTTCCACTTGAGCAAGATGGTACATACCATTGGAGCAACATATATATATATTGTTTCAGAGAATTTCAATGGTGTTTGTTGTTCAGAACCCTTGTAAAGACAAATATCCCAAACAAAGTGAAACGAGGGCTTGTGCAATGGAAGCACAGTTGACTTCAAGAGAAAAGCTGCTCCATGGTTCTCCCTTTCTGGTCCAAAATCAAGTGCGGTTTCCAGTTTTCAATTGAATTTCTAATTGTATCATTTTCCACAAGAGGCCACACCTCCTCAATCCTAGCTTTCAGTTCATCAAGTGTTGAAAATGGCCTGCAGTGTCTAGCATGAACAAGCTCCTTCAATTTGTTCCACATTCCTTTGTCAAGGGGGTTTAAGTCAGGAGAATTGTGTGGCCACTGATTTTCTCAGGTGAAGTCAGAAGTGTTATGTTTCAAATACTCCTACATGTTTGGTACATTGTGAAGGAGCTTGAAATTTTAATAAAACAATATACTTGTACATATATTGATGGGTGACACCCTGAAGTTGTCCTACTAATACCTAGTATGGTGATCCATCCGTGGCAGCCTACATTTTGGTACTTTCTTTTGGGCCACCCAGTATGGTCCTAAGGCTTAGGTGTCTCCTCACCCCAGTAGTCATGAAAAATTTGCTGCCGACTCCTATAAATAACCATAGCCTTAAGTGGTCATTGTATTTTGTTCTATCTCTGTTGTTTTAGTTGACCTTGGCCTCAGCTGTATTGAGGTATAGAAAAAGTATTTCCTTGAGAGTATTGCCTACAGGCTACTGGGAGTGTGAGTTCAATATAAATGTCTGCATCAAGAGCAAGTTTGATGGATAGTATGTTGACATTTGTACCTGAAGGCCATGAGAAGCATTTAAAGAGTGCCTTCTATAATGCTGCTGCATTCCTCTTTGTTCTTTTGGCTCTGATGATTGGTGTGGCAGTGTTTTTTGTGCTTCAACCCTTTCTTCGTCCTCTCCTATGGGCTGCACTATGTGGCAGTTTCCTACATCCCATGAAAGAACAGGTAGCCATGTTGATGCGATGCTGGCTGAAACATCTCCAAGAATCTGGAATTCCCCTTGTTATGGGTACCATTGGGATCCCATTTCTTGTCACTGATCATGTCCTCCTCTCCATATCCACAAAAATAAGCAAACATTGGTGGACAATTATCATTGTGCCTTCTATTTTTCTTATTTTCTTTGCTCTGTACTATGTTGCTCCAACTGCCTTCCTGCTCTGGCTTTGGAATGTGATCCTGGAAATTGCAAGTCTCATGAGCCCTGTGATGGTGAGGACCTTCTTTTAAGATTGTGAGGCTGTAGTTTGGTAACTTTAGAAACAGGGTCCTAGAGTAGAAGAAATAATTGTTATGGAAAATGCCATGGAATCAATCATCACGTTTTTATAGTTGAAGTTAATTTCAGCAGAGGAATGTACTTCTGGCATGCCTGTGACCACAATGAAAAGGGTCTGACCTTCATGATGAGAATGAGCTGGTTTTATTCATCTCTATTGTGCAAGGAGAAAGTTATCAGTATTTTTTTTTAGAAGTATCCTGATTTGACAAGGGGTGGCATTATTGAATTTCAATAAATGTGTAATGGAAAGTGAAGTTCATAGGCTCTCTGATTTTGACCAGACATACCAGTAGTTCATTGTCTCTTTGCAGGGGCTGACATTGGCTGTAAGCAATCTATTGTATGGTCTCCTGGCCCCTGAAGCTCTGTACATGTGCACCAAGCCAATTTTCCAAGTTGTAATGGTGGTGACATGGGTGATGTGCTTGGGTTCACTGCTTGATTCATTGGGATCTTGGCAGGTGCCTATCTTCATTGTCACAGTTATCTTTCTGATTTTGGGGGCAGTTTCAGAGGCCTTATCAGGGAAAAGTGAGTTTGTATGAATTATTTACCCTTCAAGAAAGCTTAGTATGGATACAGAAGACATATCAACATTTGAGAGCTTTTGCATCATTTCAGATGTCAAGTCCCCGATGAAAAATATCTTGAACCAAGAGAAGGAGCATCTAGGAGTCAAGGTGAATGTTGCTTCGCATTCATGCTATTCTGTCTTGAAACTGTCTAAGAAATCTTTAAAACTAAATCATTTGGGAACAGGTGGAAAGCAATATTGAGCAATATTCATTGGGTGCATAAATTTAAGCCAAAAATTCCTCAGACTTAATTTTTTTGTAATACAGGGTGGCCCAAAAAAAAGTACCCACTCTTCCAGTCTTTGCAATTTTGTAATTATTGTCTTTTAAATTTTTAAATACTGGTGGATGCCAATTTGAGCATCTCCAGTGAACCAAAAGTGTATGTAGAGATAAAAGATTGTGTTAGGTGTTAATAAATAAGTATTGCTAACAGGTGCTTTAAATACTTTCCATTATACAGTTATTTAAAGTGTGGGTACATTTTTTTGGGCCACTCTGTAAATGAATAACCCACTTCATCATTCAATGTGTATGAACTCACTTCCAAAGAAAATAAAAGTTTAGCTACATCAGAGGCTGTTGTCATTTGTGAGTGCTGTGAAAAGTAAAGACCCTTTCAGGTCTGAGTATAGCAATATCCACTTAGCACTCAAGATGCAGTCCTGGAAAAGAGAGTGGCTAACTGAAGCAGCTCTAAAAGGGGTCATTATACCATTGTATATTTGGAGATGTGTATTGAGCTGTGAATATTCTGACTCAAGACTTTTTACTTGTATTTTGGATTTGTAAAAATTTTTCTCACCAGGATCAAGAGCACTATAATGAAACAGCTCTATACTGGGCAGCACTAAGCAGGGTATTACTGTATTTTGAATATTTCAATGATGTCAACTCTGAGTTTTTCCATACCTTGGCACTACACTAGCATGAGATAGGGCGTGGATCCCAAAAGGATTAAAGCTACTTTTCATTCCATTGGTAACTAGTCCACTGACAGTTCTGTCCAATCCACTAGGGAATGCCATCCTGCTTTTCCTTAATTGTTGATGCCTTTCCTGTCGTTCTGCAGTACACTAGTGTGCTTTCATGATAATTAAAGGAATAGATAATGTCGAGTGTGGAAAAAATACAATAATATTTAGCTTTAAGAGGCCTACCCTAAAATTATGGAATGCTCGACCTCGACACGTGATGTCGAAATGGGCGAAATCGCCTCTTGATATCACTAACTCTCTTGACTCTTGACATACTCTAAGACTCAGTTCCACCTGTTTCACATAATGAAGGGGTGTCTTTGTCCCATAAAAAGAAGATTGTAAGTAATGACAAATCCCTCTGTCCTATCCCTGCCTGGGTAAGGTACAGGTAGGCAGGAGGAGGAATGGGGAAGCCCTCCCCCTCAGACTGAGAACATTGTGTATGCCTTTGGTTTCTACACTAGTTATCATTCACCTGAGAGAAGATGGTGTAATAGCTCATGTGTACTGCCTAAAAAGTTGCAAAATGGGTGTTATGAAAGACTTAAATGGAGGATATTCAGCTTAGGAAAATGCCAATAAGTAATTTAGTGTTTCTTTTGAGATTGGTAGTGGTTTTATTTTGATTACTTTCTTTCTGAAAGTTTTCTCTCTCAAGACTCCATCACACTGTATATAATTTAAGTGCTTAATTTTAAATTGAGTAGAAGCAGATGAAAGCATTAACTGAGAGAAACTGAGCATATAGGAGAGGTCTTATGCAGGAGAGGTATTCTTCAAAATTCAAGGTTTTCTCTGAGTGATCTCATGCTCATAGCAAATGCACATGTGAGTAGTCATGCATAAGCAAAATCTTACAGTGATAAGATATTACCCTTTGCCAGGGGGAATGTTGTGTCAAATATAGTCTCTCAAAGAAATTAGAGATTTCTGGATTGCTCTTCATTGACTGCAATGTTGGAAATACCAAAAGTTGGAATAGTCATCTGCAGCTTTTGAGAGACTGTCTTATGAGGACTTTAGACTTAAGTTTCTTGAAGTAAATTTTAAGTTTTGCATTGCACTTTAGCAGACATGAAATTCATGAGAAGAACTGTTCTTATGCAGGATTCACTGAAAGATTTCTATGCCTTCTTTAGGAACTTAGATTGGAGTCAAGCATACTGCAGGCCTCTGTGGGGGGCCAGAGTTCTCCAGTGTCCAATGTGATTCAGTCAACACCCATCTTTAGTGGTCTGACTAAGTTGATCCTGGAGTCCCCATTGATCCTGGTGTCCCCATTGGGACCCAACAAGCAAACCATCTCTATGGATGGAGAGGGAGGAAACCCAAGTCCGTTCTTGACTGATAAGGATGAAGGGGATTCCTACATTGTTGGTGTGGTTTGGGCTGCAATACTCATCCAACTCTATAAATATCCATGGCTTCTCCAACTCATTCCCATCCCTCTTGCATATTACCTCATACGGAAGGCAGGTAAGTTAGAGAACCCTTTTCATGCATTGTTGAGTGAGTTTTATTGGCATTACCTTGGATGATTGAAGTTTTTCATAATCAAAAGTTGTAGGCACACTGGTATCATAAGTGTTACTACCACTCAGTCTTCATAATACTAAATTCCAGGAATTTCCAGCTATTAGTGGAGCATACATATCACAATCACTCCTTAAAAGATGCTGATTGGAAGGAAATTTCCTGGTGTTCCTTTTGGAATTTTCAGATCTTCATACTAGTACTTTTTTTAAATGTATCATTGTACCTTGATGATGGGGTCTAATGCATCCAGAAACATCAGATGTTTAAGGTTTTTGGCTTATCAATAAATACCCCAAAAGCACTGTGACTGCTGCAGTCCCGACTTCCCTAGACAGTGGCAGATCCAGTGCTCGAGGCTAATGCATCCTCGTTTTGGATCATCTTTGTCTTGCTTGTTTTGGTTCATCTTAGTCTTCCTCAACCAGTGACTTTGTATAATGGTTGAACACGAGATGCTATGGCCTACTTAATTGCAAGAGTTCATCATTCTGATGTGGATGCAATGTTATTAACCAATTGGATTCCAATTTTTCTTAGCATTTTGTTGATAAAAAAGGATTTTCCCACAGAAAAAGCTATTGAAGACTCAAGTGGTATTTAGCTGCTATATTGGTTATAGGATAAGCACCCCGGTTTCTGGCCGGTTTCCAGTTGTTGGACAGTGAGTCTTAAATCCAGCATAATTAGTTAATCTGGCCGTTTTCAAGCATTCTATCAACATCTTCCCGTACGAGGACCTATTACTAGTGTTTCCCGGTGTGCGCACAGGGTGTCCACTTTCTATGGGAGTCGTATCAGCGTGGCCAAAAACTGGGGTGTTTACCTTTTATTAGTTAAACTTGCAGAAGAGGCTTCTATATGTGCAGGGATGCCTTATTAAGTATGTTCATGTTTGGAACCCATCTTGAACTTTGTCTGCTTAAATTGAACCCCAAAACATTTAGGCAGGTGGTTGGCTACAGAGCAATTATTACACTGCCAAGCTGTTTCATTACTTTTCCCCTTACTACTACGTGGGTCGTACCAAAAGTAATGAGCCCTAATTTATTAGAGGAGAACCACTATTCGGAGAAGCCTGAGATTATATTCACACAAATTATTATGCTTCCGCTACTGATGGACACCGGGAATTTCATTGTTTATGCCCAGGTGGCAGCACAGTAGCCATTGAAAATGGCACCCACTAGGGATGGCGTTTTGAAGCAGAAAGCACCAATAAAATTCCGCACAAAGGAATATGTAACCCCTGAAAACAGTTATGTGTGACTGCAGAATGTGTATGGCGAGTCTAGCAACAGTTATGCGAGTGTGAAACGGTGGGTTCTGCATTTCGAGAGCGAAAACATTGACATCGAAGACAACCCACGTTCAGGCAGGCCATCCAGCGCTGTGACACGTGACAGCAAAATGGGTGTTACACGACGCTCTCCCTTTCTCCCTGACTGTAACGTGACCATCATTTATCGGGTAACAATCAGTCGACGATCATTTCGGATCAGTTCATCCAGATGCGTTTTGCGGTCAGGTGTCAGCGCTGGGTGGCCTGCCTGAACGTGGGTTGTCTTCGATGTCATTGTTTTAACTCTTGTACCCAGTTTCATGACAATACTCTCAGCGGTTCATTTTCAACAAATCATTGCGAGTGCTCGTGCACAGCCGTCAATTGATGTGCAGAAATTTGAGCACCGGGCTTTGATTCGATACCTTTTTCTGAAGGGCCAAAGACATCCGCGCGGATATGCAGCAGACGTTGGAAAATAATGCACCGAGTTATTCGACTGTGAAAAAGTGGGTAGCAAATTTCAAACGCGGAAGAGAGAGCTTGGAAGACGAACCCCATAGTGGACGTCCTGTATCAGGGTCCACTCTAATTTCTCCGAGTGACAACTCGCCAAAAGTTCATTTCGTCGAATGACGATTCACTGACTTATAATGCACTGAGCTCAGCTTGCCAAAACTTCATTATTCCTTGAAAGCAGAAGCTGAAGCAGAAATTATTTTCATCCACCTTAAAATAATGGGATTAGAATTAGCCCACCTAAATCTTCACGAGGTGAAGGGCTGCAGTAAGTCGTTTTGAAAAAACTTTAGTCACTTGAAAGATTTTCGTCACTGTTCAGCCGGAGCTGGATTAGTCCTCGCCTAGGTGAGACGGTTTTGTCCAGACGGGATTAAGCTGTGCCTACGCCCCCACGGACGGAATGAGGAATTTGAGGGTAGGACAAGGCAGCCAGCCTCAAGTGGCGCCATTGTTACGGATTAGTGTCAATGAGGGTATAGTCTATTCGACAGCAAAAGACATTCGATTGAGGACAAAGGATTCGATGGATGGGGCTGTGAGAGGCAAGGAGTCAAAGGGAGATGTGTATGTTTGGCCTCTGGCAGGTTAAGAGGGGCTAAAGGTTTATGATGCACTTCAGCATTGTCAAATGATGGACAGCGCTGAGAGAGATCCATTGGGATCCCACGTCACCTGATAGAACGAAAGAAAGTCGGCAACCCTGATATTCAAGGAAAATCCTCCATTAACCATGTCTCAGGTGAGGTGCATAAGTGATATCTAATGACCGAGGCCCCCCTTTGACCTGTCACATCGAAGCCTCAAGTGTGTCTTTTGAGGTCGAATAGACTATAGAATGAGGGGAAAGGGCGTCCCTGTTTTCTGTTAACTTAGACGACCTGAATAGTTTCCTAATATTAATCCCATCCTTCCAGGTATCGCATATAAAAAGATAAGGTTTTGCCATGACAGCATTGCGTTCCCGTAATGGCAGCCCTCCAGTTTGTGACAACCCAGCGTGGTCATCGACAAGAAACTTGGGCAGAAGACCTACTGGCGATGCGAAGACAGAGCTTGCACCTCTAGACTGCACAGCATAGGTGACGCTGGCATATATCTCTGAAGATTCAAGTGTTCGAGGTCCTGACTGATGCTCCAGGCTTCCCTCGAGAGCTTGACCAGATTGTTGATTATTTCGAGTCCAACTACATTGGAAATGTTGGAAGAGGTGGTCGTCGCCGCCAACCTCAGTCTCCCCCTTCGTTATGGTCGCAGTATCAGCGTACCGTTGCTGGCCTCCCCAGAACCAACAATTCCGTGGAGGGCTGGCACAACGCCTTCAGCGGCTCGGTGAACAAAGCCCATCCTTCGGTGCGAGCCCTGGCTCTGAAGCTTCAACGGGAAGAAACTTCTGTAGCAACTCTATCGAAGCGCCTTAGAAGTTGATGCCCTGTCGTCATTCGGGGAGTCAAGCAGTCACCTGTCTCAGTTACAACAGGGAAAAACATTAAAGTTGTGCACGATATCATCATGGGCAATCATCGGATAACTACACTTATTCATCGCTTAACGTCTTGAAATATCGAAAGAGTGTGTGGAGCACATCATCCACTGTGAACTGAAAATGAGGAAGGTGACTGTCGTCCTATGGACGAAATGGACGAAATTTCATTACCTCTAAACCTCAATGAAGGCCAGAAACGCTTGCGAGCGACCTTGTCACAGCAGCATCTGGAACGATTTCTGGCCAATAAAGATGATTTCCTCTATCGACTCGTTACCCAAGATGAGACGTGGGTTCATCATTTTCACCCGGAGACGAAAGAACAGTCGCGACAATGGAAACACGTGAACTCCTCGCCTCCGAAGAAGTTCAAAGTGCAGGCGTCTGTCGGGAAGGTGATAGCGTCTGTCTTCTGGGATGCAGAGGGTGTGCTCCTCATTGATTACCTGGCTAAGGGTAACCCATCAATGGCGAATGCTACGAATATCTATTCTACAAAGTTCGCACCGCTGTAGCCGAGAAGCGGTCAAGAAAGTTGGAGGATCGTGGCTTCGAGATCTTGTCCCCCCCCCCCCCTTTTCACCTGATTCGGCGTTCTCCGACTACCATCTTTTCCCCTACCTGAAGAAGCTTCTTAAAGGAAAGAGGTTTTTTTTTGCGACGGACGACGATGTCATCACTACTGTCACCGATTAGTGCAACTCTTAGGAAACATCCTTGTACCAGGAAAGGTTTCCTGTACTTGGAGCGTCGCTAGACAAAGTGCGTCGACGTCGGGGGGACTAGCGTAATTTGCCTAAGTTCGCGGCGCTTTTTTTTTTCCGGGTATGGGAATCCGGGTAATTCCGGGTATTCATCGCAGGCACTCATTAGCGATGCCATGCTGATTTTTGGTTCAACATCAACTTTTTGGGTTCTTGAGAGATGAACAGGGTGCAAAATTATGGTAATCACGCCTTTATAGTATTATAGAGACGAGATTTTGTCAATGAGGTGAAGTGCACCTAATTTCGAGAGGGATGTCCCTAAGTTCAAGCAGAGGTGTTCCTAATTTCGATATGGTTTGTTCTTAGTTCGTAATGTCTGCATGGTGAACAGAGTAATATATTGAATGTATTATATTTGTTTCATGGTGGACACGCATCCTATTGCGCAAAATAAATTTTTGTTGGCTTAATTACAAATTACAGAAGCTGTCAATTTGAAATATTGCGGGATAATATGGGATAATTGTAAGAATGTTTTAAAATGGGGACTTGTTCATTTTCAGTAAAGCCAATGTGCTGGTTTAGTACATTTTTTCCCTTTTTTTTTTATTGATTTTGGTCTAGGTTCTCACAGGAACTCCACTGATTGCACTCATCCTTCCGTTGCGAATGAGGGACGACTGAGCACACCAAGGAAAGCACTTATGCCATGCTTGCATCGGAAAGAGTTATTAATGTTGTTTCGTAGATGTAGGTGCAAGAAAACCCCATTCAAATGCAAGTACTTCTTAGAACACATTGTAAACGCATCCTAAAAAAAAGTTTTTGGCAGGTTTTGATGTGCAAAGTTATTGCAAAGTTATTGAATATTCTTTTATCGTAAATAATTATTCATGAAGCGGGTAATATGCGCGATTGTACTCGTTCTGGAAGGCTTGAAGTACTTCCTCATTTTTAGTTCACCGTTAAATATCACCCCTGAGGGGACCTATGGTCTCATTTGAAGCACATTTGATGTGCATTCAAGCACAGTGAGAATCATTTGAGAAAAATTGCCACCTAGAGCATTTCCTGTTGCACGGAGCACACAGTGCCTCCCGATTGTCAATATTGCTTGAGTTCTGCCATTAAATTTTGGCAAGAGTATTTTGCACTTAAGTAGAGCATTCACATCCTTCCACGATTAACCAATTGAACGGTGTGGCCGTACCGGTGCGTCCTGCATCTTCGAAATCAAATTGACACATTTGTACTGATGCCGTCAGTTAGAGGTAAACACTGTTTATTTTCATAAAAGTAAAAATTCTGGACTGCAGCCCATCCGCGAAAAAAATTACCCCCTGAGGGCATGGCCTGCCAAAAAAACTTCAACACTCAATGGATTAAATTTACATTCTCTGGTTACTAGTTAAAGGGTGGCATTTTACTTATTTTCCCCAAATAACTAAATCCGTTTTTCATATTGCGAAGAAAAAACATCCAAGAATCAACTTACGATCTCTGAAAATTTCAGTTCTCTTTTTATATTTATGGATCCGACAGTCAAAAGCGCGTGTCTGTATCAAAATAAGGGCCAGGCCTTCAAATTCATAACCCACCGGGTTAAGAGTTTCTATAGACAGCCAACAAGGGCCGCGTCTTCTGAAGGGGACGCCCCTAATTGCAAGGAGCATTCCTGTTATCCCCAGGCAACCTCAGACATCCGATGTACGTCCTTCAGATGTAAGAAGGTACGATAGATGTTTGTCGGATGACTACCTGACTATTCTGAAAGAATAGAAGCAGAAAGAGACCCTTCAATCAGTTTTTTTGTTTGAATCCATGTAACGTCACGCCAAAAAACAAAGAATCGGGGCCACTGTTTTTTTTTTGCATAAATTTCTTGCTTATAGGAGGAGAAAGTGAAAACGTGTGCCTGCAGCTTGTGACCAAGAGCCTGGGGAAAAAAAAAATTGTTTAGCAGGGAGGGGACCTTCTTGATTTTTTTTTGCTGCTGGGGTGAGATGGTCCTTTCGGTCGTAATAGGGTCTGTCTACGCCAAGTGGTTTTGAAGTTTTGTTGCCAGGAATTTCTCTAAATTTGCGAATATTGAATCCTATACAAAAGTTCATAATATTATCAAATCAGCATGGGTGTGAAGAGATGTCTATTTTTCACATTTGAATAATATTTAACAAAGAACATTACTATTAGAGACGAGAGCAGACTTCGCCTTTTCAAATGAACTTTCAGGACACGTCACATCTCTCAGTCACAAAATAGCCTTTGCTTTCTTTTTGGACTTCTGGAATTATGGAATGACACACTAATTTTAGACTTTCATTTAACCTATGGAATGAATATAGCACTAAATTGATGGCTCATGCTATGTGTTAGTTCTTCATATGATAACAAGATGAAATTCACATATAGTTCTAGAAATGATGTTGAGAATATTTTTAAATTTGGCGGATGGCATTCTGAGAGTCTGTGTTTGAGATTAGGTGGGTGCATTTCAATGTTTTTATGCATATGTACCTGAGAGATTCATGAACATTGCTTTTGAAGGGAATTCTAATAAAATAATGTAGATCTCACTGAATGAGTAGGATTTTGCAAGGTTTTATATGTTGTCTCCTGAATGAATATATCCTAGAAAAGCGGACAAGGACTGCATCTTCTTTCACGAAAATAGATCGTTTACTTGTTCTCCCTTGAAGTTTACCTTCCCATGGTATTTGTTGAATTTTCCAACATTTTCTCAAATTTTCTCAAGTTTTTCCCCAGTATTTTTCTAATTTTGATACGGCCTCGAACTTAGGCACATTCCTTTTTCACACCATATCGAAATTAGGAACACGATGGGGTTGTGTTCCTAAGTTCGAGAGTGTCTTATTGTTCATTATCTACGTGACAGAAGAAGATAGTAATCTGGTCTTAGTGTTACACAGCTCTAGAATATACGCTTGAGTAGCATAAAAATACGAAAAAGTTGCAGAGGAAGCTGGGAAAAATCTTGGAACATGACCTGCTGAAGTTGCGAGAATGGCACCGAGAGCCAGGGCCATCAGGGCTACAAGACCTTAGCTCACGTAAATAAGGGGTACATCCATGCTCCTTTAAGACTGGTGATTCGCCTTCTCCACTCAGCAGACGATGCGATAGGATGTGATTGGCAATATTTTGGCATATAGCATTGAGTGACAGGGGTCGAATATGCGCTATCTCGAACTTAGGCACATTACGCTATGTAGAAAAAGTCCAGACTATGAATGTCCGAACCCAACTCCTTCCTACTTCGGCCGAGAACTTTTCGGACACCCCTCGTATTTTCAATACTGGGTCCCCATTGCTTGGACAATACCACCAGAAATTATTGGTACCATAGTGACTTATAGCCCTGAGCTACTGGAATCGAATGTTTTCCTATCAAATTTAGGTACACTCAACTTACGCGTTGAACGTAAATAAATTACGTTATATGTTGGGCTATGTGAAAGTCCTGTTCTTTTTCTTTTCCTGCACGTGCACAAGACTTGGCATCGTGTAGATCTGGGGTTGGTCAGTATCAATGATGTGAAGGTAAAGAAGCTCTTCATTGCCAGTGAAGTTGTTCTTGTAGCCCAGTGCATGATTAGATGGTTTGACTTCAAATGCACTGCAGCTGGAGTGAAACTAAGTCTCTCCTGATGCTAGGTTAAGGTTCTCTGAAGAAATCCAGTAGTGAGTGTTTATCTTTCCTCTCTTACCTGTGGCTATGAATTTTGGGTCATTACTCAAAGAATCAGATATTTAAGAAGGTAAAACGAGATTTTAAAATTGGTTAATAAGGTGTTGTAGGTTGCATTGAGGTGTAACTGGGATCCATAGGAGCCTTCAAGCAAGACTGTCCCTTTTGGGTTGAGGGATCTATTGTAATTGGATTTGTTCACTGTAGGCCCCACCAGGAGGCTCCCAAAAAGTGTTGGTCTTCTGTTCATCATTGACCAACAATCTCATCCTCATCCATAATAGAGGGACTATGTTGTGAAGGTTTTTATTAGAGACTCAACGTCCCATCTGAGCTTGAGTTCATTGCAGAGCATGATTCACATTTAGGAGTGAGTTTTCTTTGTGCTCCTAGGATGTTTTAAAAAATATATGTATATTGAGGTCTCTCAACAATATATATCTTGAAAGTTTTATTATTATCATGATGTGGTGATCAATATTCAATTGCAGCACTTGAAAGGCAAAACATGCAGAAAACTCAAAACGTTCAATTTACAAGAAACCTGAAATTGAAATTGCATGCTGCCAGTAGTTTATATGCCAAGTTTCAGCTTCTTCTGACTTTATTTTGTGTTTTACATGGTCATTCATCTGTAAACTTATCAAAATGGGTCACCTTATATACGTAACTCAGAAGTTGGGCTATTCCTTTTCCATAGGCTGCTTCATGTAACCAGTACATAGATGACTCAAAACTATATATTTTCAGGGAGTAGAGTTGGTGTGTGGGTCTTCTTGAAGGAGCTGGGAATGAGTACCTTGCAAAGCCTCCATCAATGGATCCGGACAAGGTGGGAGCACATCATCCCATCTATAATCCGCTTGGTGTGGCGCTCCCTCCTTGCAGGGGATCGGGCCATTGTCTCTCTGCTTGAGGGATATGTTGATACTGTGGCCAGCATCTTCGTCATCATCTTCATCATCCTCTGTTTCATGGTTGCTATCATCATAGCTACACTCCAGGTCCATGACTTTGAATATCATATGCCTATGTCTCCGATCCAGACTATATTGTTGAAAAGTTAAAATTTAAACAATTAAATATGCTTTAGCAGTCTGTCTTGATTCATATCTGCTTTGATAGATTATAATTATAACAACTTCTGCCTGGGGCTTGACCAAATTTTGAAGGCCTCTTTCTAAGTTTGAGAAGAGGTTGCTACTACTACTGCTCTGGGAGTATTACAGTCGACTCTCTTTATAACGAAGTTGAAGAAGTCACCGGAATTATTTAGTTCTATCGGGTTTTCGTTTTATCGGGAGAGAGTAGTATATCTCCAATTAGTGGGTGCTGGGCTATAGCTGGTCAAGGGCTTGCCCTTCTGTCAATGAATGTCCAGCATATTATATTCGACTTTGAAGGGGGATATGTAAACACATTACTCTTCCAGTGATTTTCGCAAGTGTTCCAACCTTTTTCCTGGCTTTAAAACATCTTGTTTATATGCCATCTGGATTAGTTGTACCCCTCCTCTGCCAGTGGTGATTTACCTGCATAGTAACATTGTAGTTGGGCTGTCATTGATTAGCTAAGAGCTCCTGCCTGTCGCGGGATTTCTCTGCAGGAGTTTATTCCACTTTCATCTCTCCAGATATTATAGCCTTCTTTTGCCTGGCATTTCACAATAGTTTCGGGATGCCTGTCGGAGGGCTCGCGTGGGTGCTGGACTATAGCTGGTCAAGGGCTTGCCCTTATGTCAGTGAATGTCCCATCATATTATTATCCCATGGGTGTACTTTGGGGGACTTACGGCTTTTGAGGGTTTCATGGACGACAGTACTTTTAACACCTTCGCTGCCTCATATCGGTGGGTCACGTGGCATCGCGGTTAAAGCGTCGGAAATAGGGTTGGCAGCTGACATCTTAACCCTTACGCTGCTAAAAGCAACCTCAGTTGCTTCCTGCAACATTGCCATTGGCAGTGTCCCATAATAAATGACGCAGCGAAAGGGTTAAATGTGTAAATGCTTCTGCCGGGTAAAGGGCATGGACATCCCGAAGCCATGTAAATTGTAACTCGCACGGGATCATTGGAAGAAAGAAGCCAGACAAAAGCTGCTGCACGCGAGCATTGAAGTGCTTCGTTCACTCGCATCTTCCCGTGTTCACATCCCCCGCCACGCGCACATTCACCCACATTCTGCACGCGCCACAATCCTTGGTTCTCATAGGCCATGCAGCTGAAAACCAGATGAAGAGCTGAATAGAGATAAGGAGTGACCCTTCTGTCCTTCCGTCAAGTGGGAGAAAAAAATATTAGGGAGTTTTGGTTACCCGTTCTTGAGAGGACGGCAAGGGATGTAGGACGGCTGACGTCACTGGTCATGTCACCTGAAGTTTTAAGGTTTATGTAAAATATAAAAATTGACACACCTGGATCGAAACTTCGCTTTATAATCATTGTTAGGGACCTCGAAGGAGGGTCCAAGAGGCACTTTCTCGAGACTCAAAGGCCAGTGTTGGTGTGGACAGGCAGTAGGGTCGAAGGTCACGATTTCGATGGGTCTCTTCAGAGGCTTTTATCTCCGGCATCGTTCCAGGCAGAACTTTAAAAATTCGTCTCATTCTCTTCCTTAGTCTCTGTTCTAAACACTGCACTGATGTAACATTCTTGATGATACTACCGCAGGTTCGGGATGGGGAACGGATTTCGCAAAAATCTCGCCTCTTTGCGCCTCACGTTTGCTCCTCCCAAATCCGTTGTAAGCGACGCATCGATAAATCCGTATATACGATTTTGCATCATATCCAGTTCCATCTTCATGCAAAGTGGCGTTCAAATCGTATAGACAGTTTTTGCGTGTCATTTGAAAATCCTCTCGAAAACCACGCTTTTTTTTAATAGCCATTTCGAACTTCGAACCCGGATTACTCGAAACGAAAAGGAGATGTTACGATTTTTGTGCGCCGATATTCAGAGACGACTGTCATCAAGGGCTCTGCCCATTTATATGCCAACATATTCATAATTCTCTGATTTATAGTGATTTGATTGATGTCAAGTCGGAGAATACTGCAAGAATTGGTCACGTTTTCCCCTGCTTGCCTCCTCCCTCGCATAATACGCAACGCTGCTTCCGCGCATCACGTGGCAGAATGATCCACGATTCAGATGGTACTTGAATCGTCTCTCTATAATAACAGGTTATTGAATGGTGGGACTTCATCCTCGTTGAAGTTGGTTTTTCCCGTCAAAAATGGCATGAGCAGACGACAGGATTCACGCACATCCTCTCGCACGTTCTCTCTCCTTATTCCCCTTTCACCCACTCCCCTCCCCCAGACTCTCGTGCCAGGACGTGTCAGGTACTCGCTTTCCCGCCCGTCTCGCCGTCTGGACGTGCGACTGGGATAGAGACATGCTTCCCTTCTTCTCTTCTGCCTTTTCGCTCTTCAAAATCCTATCCCCGTCTAAACGCAATCTTATTTTCACTGTTCGCCTTCACGCTTGCTGTCTATGGAACTTTCGTATAACCAGTTTTGCATATGAAAAACTAAGTCAACCACAAAGGAATCTTTTACTCCCAATGAGATTTATTTAGAAATGCAAAGGCTTTCTCCTCAACTGAATTACGAGCTTTTTCGTCGGGAGACGAGTGCAGTGACTGCAGCTGTATGGAATCGCTGATTATTCCTGCTGCTAATATGACTGAGAAAAAGCAACGAGTATTTTTCTTCCAGCCACCGTTTTTCTAACGGCTTTTGTAAGTGTAGTTCTACGTCGGAATGAGTAATTTATTTCTTTATTCCATCATTGTTTCGCCAGAAAAGAACGTGTACACTCCGAAGTGTACGCGGGACACGTAGCTGAAAATCCAAATTTGGACACTTGACGCGTTCCCTGGGTAAATTTCTCGTGAATCCTTGATTGCTTCAAACTCTGGGGAAAAGAGCATATATGAGACTCTTCTTTATGCCTGTGGTATTGCCTTGTGCGAACCAAGGGCGAGAAAATGGATTCAGCATTCTTGATTATCTTCTCAGTTGATTTCACTTATGTCTTCCAGAATGCAATTAGGATTCAGTGGTGTTTTTTTTTTATAGAGTTCGTCTAGAAAAATAAATAAATAAAACAAAATTGAGAAATATTATGATAGTATGATACTGATTACCGCGTCTGGATTAGTTTTTCCCCTCTTGATCCTATTTCATGTAGGTGAAATCTCTTTTCCGTCCACAGCCGATGAGCTGGGTCGCAATACGAAGTAGAAATTATCGTGTTCAATCTAAAGTCTGCATGCTATTCAGGGTCAGCGTTAGGGGTAGGGGACCAAACAAGATCGGAGGAAGAGATACAGATGCTTCTATCCATAGGCGGCGATTCATAGAGACTCAGGGGGCTCGAGCCCCCCCACCAAAAAAATAAAAATTGGCAGAAGGGGCTCACAGCGAGGACATGAGAATAATGAATACTTGCAAGAGTTCTGTCTCTGAGCCCCCGCATATTTCTCAATAAATCACCACCTATGCTTCTATCACACTGAAATTCATGTCTTGCGTACAAAGGCACAAGCAAGAAGTGAGTTCCATGCTGAAGATGGATAATTGTAGATAGCGTAGGGTTGATCCTCCCTTATCGTTGATGGATGCATCTTTCCAAAACCATTTTGAGCTTCGCTCAGCAGCCCCAAAACTTCTTTAGCGTAGATTCAGCAATTCGGTTCAGTCTGCTTCGAGAAAGTCATGCTTAGTGATACGAATACTGTTGAGACGTTTCTACCGCGTCTTTCAATTCGACAAGATCTCCGTTCCTCCAAATCAGGCAATGAGCTAATGAAAAGCAAGTCTTCATTGAAATTACCAACAAAATATTCTCTTTTTCCTCCCTGTATCAATGAAATCAATGAAGAAATTTCGAAAGGAAGTAACTGCCATAGATAAATTTTCCAATTTTATGTATTTATTTACTTATTTTTTTAAATCTCACATGGCCCTTTGGGAAGTGGACACGGTGAACCACAACGAATAAAAAAGAAGATTAGAATAGAAACGAAGAAACGAAGCACATTTTAGGATGGATTTTTGAACAGAGCACTATCCGATAATGCAGCTTTATTTACCGAGAACGCACCGCTGGAACGAATTGCGTTCGTTATGCGAGGTACCACTGTATATGAAAATCCCCTCATAGACGAAAAATAAAGTACGACTAGAGTTCCGGTGGCAATAAATGGACTAAAACTAAATTTTAAATTATTTTGGGGAGTTAAACTACTATGGAATTGAGTTCATGACCAGAGTTTTGTCCCTTCGATTTCCTCTTTAGGCTTTTGCTTCTTGCCTTGCTTCTTGTACATGTTCTTTTTCATAACGCACGAGGAGAGTGAATATTTTCTTTGACAAGGCAATGAAGCTCATATCTTGCCTACCTTTACGTGACACAAGTGCAAAAGGTCCTTATAATGCCACATACATTATTACAGACTTCCATAAAGTTTGTAGCATGCTTCTAGGCGTGTTCACCTCTTCTGGATATACCTGTACTGTACAGTATTACCAGTTGAATCAGAGAGAAGCCTTATTATTTTTTCGTCTACTCACATTGATAGTGCCTCTGCCGGTTGGTCGAGCCAGAGATCAGAAAGTAGCTCTAATCCTTGGACATGATACTGTATATTCCAGAGGGGTCTGATCAGTGGCGTATTTTACGGGGGGCAGGGGAGACAGCTGCCTTGAAGCCCCTTGAAGGTAGTTTTCTCAAATTTGTCAATGCCTGCATTCAAGCCTTTCTGTTAAGCACACCTTTTTTGGTTTTCATTCATTTGTTGGAACACGTCTATGACCCGCGGCATCGAGAGTTGCAATGGGTATTATTGGCTACGCACTTGCACCCTTTGTTTTTTTTTTTTAGACGCATCGTTCGCAGTGGCGTATTTTACGGGGGGGGGGGGGGGGGGGGGGGGGGGGGGGGGGGGGGGGGCGGGGGGGGGGCAGGGCAATAGAGTGAAACCCCACCTGAGAGATNNNTGCCCCCCCCTGGCGCCCCTAGGACTGAGTCTGGCGTCCCCTTGGAGGTAATAATTTT